TACCGGTCCCATTTCTGGCTGAAGTACCCTGTGAGGGGCCCAGGGCCACTCTCACTGCTCGCCGCCTGCCCTTTGGAACTTTGGAGCTCTGGAGCTCTGGGTCCACCCTGGCTGAGGCACTCAGTGCGTGACGCTATGCTTGCAAAAGGGAAAAGCATATCTTAAGGAGGTGCTGATCGGAGGCTCTCAGCTCCAGAGGAGGAAACTCCCGACCCCCTCCTCCATCACAGCCCACTGGTGGCACCCCAGATCCAGTGCCCAGCTGTGCAGCTGATCCCCAGTGCCTCCCATGCTACTACAGTCCTCCATAGTGGATCATCCAGGGACCCAGATGAGCAGAGAGAAAAGACCCATGAAAGTGAAGTTGCCACCTTGGCCATTCTCCAGGCAGAGATTTGCATTGCCCCACCCACCTTTCAGCAGCCTCCACCTCGGTTCCTAAGGTTACATCTCTAAACAAGAGACAAAGCCCCTCCCCTACGCTGAATCAGAAAAAAGGCAACTAAGCATCACAGATCTACCAGACTGCAGGCTAAAAAAACAAATTCAAACTGCAAGTAAATCTAACTGCCTGCAATGAAAACAAAGGGGAGAAGCTGGAGATCAGAGCTGAAGAGACTTTAGACAATTAAGAAAGATTCCAGAGCTAGTCTGATCTCTTATTTTCACTTTTGATTTACTCATTTTGACTGTTTGTTTTGCTCACTTTTGTTTGCTTTCTGACTTACACTATTTGTTTCATGATTTTATTGCTCTTCTCTGTGTAGCTACCAGCATTCTTTAGGGAATTTTTCTTGCATGGTTTTTTCACTTCTCTCCGGCCTTGTGTCTCATTTCACCTGTTACTTGGTATGTATGTCTATTTTCCCTCTCACTCTTCTCTCTTTCTAACTTCCTATTGACCCCCTTCCTCCATTATTTTCCTCTTTTGTACCTCTTTTTGATCCAGGGACCAAACCCACACACCACTCCACAGACAGATTGTAAGGCAGTGAGAAATAGGTTCCACTGTGCACATACACCTGTTGGTGGATGCTAGAATCAGTATATAGGTTCTGAATCACAGTTTCCCCTCCATTAAACCTCAAAACTGCAAAAAGTACAGCCCACAGCCCACACACCAAACTCAAAAGTGAACAAAGCCACAGGACCCTCATAAGGAAGAACAGGAGATTGCACACGTGAAGCAAAAGCAACCCCACCTTCCCTGAAAAACAGAATTAAAGAAGGGGAGGGAAAGGAGAGGAGAGAGAATAATCTACACAAATGAAGAAAAACTAAAAGAAGAACATGGGTCTCTCCCAGACTCCTGTGAGGGCAGGCACTGAGAAAACTGACTTCGGAATGCAAACAATGAAGAGCCCCAGAATGACTGGTCTCAAACTACAAACCTACTATCAAGACGTTAATGCAGAGATTAAAAAGAAATGAGGAGAGACAAGAAGAAACTAGGAAGGAGCTGATATCTGAGATAATATTAATAAAGAATGCTGTGAATGAAATAAATAACAAACTGATAAGCATGGAAAGCAGAATTACCCAAGCAGAAGAAAGAATCTCAGAGCTTGAGAACCAAAATATAGAACTAACCTAAACTCTTAAAAACACAGAAAACAAGCTCAAAAAGACAGAACAAAACCTTCAAGAGATCAGCGATTACTTCAGCTGGAAAAGCAAGACCACAAAAACCCTAATTTCAGCAGAGGAATCCAGATCATGAAAATAAAAGCCCAAATCCAGGACATAGAAGACAACAAGATATACAAAAAATCAATGAAACAAAAATCTGGTTCTTCGAAAGGATAAACAAGATCGATGGTTCCCTAGCTAGACTGACTAAGAAAAAAGAGAGAAAAGGCCCAAATAAGCACAATCAGAAACAAAAAGATGAAGTCACATCTGACCCTGAAAAAATATAAAAGATCATTAGAGACTACTACGTACACTTGTATGAAAACAAACTTGAAAACCTTAAAGAAATGGAGGACTTTCTGACATCACACAACCTGCCTAGGTTGAAACAAGAAGAAATTGAGACCCTAAATAGACCAATAACAACCAAGGAAATTGACTACATAATAAGAAAACTACCTGCAAAAAAAAGCCCTGGACCAGGTGACTTTCCAGCAGAATTCTACAACACATTTAAGTAGGAGCTGATACCAATCCTACTGAAGGTATTCCAGGAGTTTGAAAAAGATAGAACTCTCCCCAAATCATTTTATGAAGCTAACATCACATTGATACCCAGGCCAGGTAAAGACCCAACAAAGAGAGAGAACTACAGGCCAATATCTTTGATGAACATAGATGCTAAAATTCTCAACAAGATCCTAGCAAAACGGATTAAGCAACGCATCTCAAAAATCATCCATCATGACCAAGTAGGTTTCAATCCTGGGATGCAAGACTGGTTCAACATTCGTAAAACCATAAATGTAATTAAATACATCAACAGATGCCAAAACAAAAACCACATGATTATATCATTATATGCAGAAAAGTTTTGATAAAATTCAGCACCCCTTCATGATAAAAACCCTCGAACATCTAAGAATATGGGAAACATACCTCAAAATATTAAAAGCCATCTACAAGAAACCCACAGCTAGCATACTCCTAAATGGACAAAAATTGGAACCATTTCCCCTGAAACGTGGAATGAGACAAGGAAGCCCACTCGCACCCCTCCTGTTAAATAAAGTATTGGAAGTTGTGGCTAGAGCAATCAGAGAAGAGAAGGAATCAGGAGTATCCAAATAAGAAAAGAGGAAGTCAAGTTATCAGTCTTTGCAGATGACATGATACCTTGAAAACCAAAGAGAATCTATCAAAAACATCCTTACACTGATAAAGGACTTTGGCAAAGTCTCAGGATACAAAATAAATGTGCAAAAGACAACCGCATTTCTTTACACTGATAATTAATGAACAGAAACCCAAATAAAAACCACAATTCCCTTCACAATACCCACAAAAAAAATGCAATACCTTGGCATCTTCCTAACCATAGACGTGAAAGACCTTTACAATGAAAACTACAAAACACTGCTCAAAGAAATCAAAGATGACACAAGCAAGTGGAAAAATATTCCATGTTCATGGATTGGAAGAATCAACATTGTGAAGATGTCCATCTTACCTACGGCAATCTACAGATTCAATGCAATACTGATGCAATTACCAACAACATTCTTCTCAGACCTAGAAAAAACAACCAGGAATTCATATGGAAACACAAATAACCAAGAATAGCCAGAACAATCCTCAGCAAAAAAACAAAGCAGGTGGTATCACATTACCAGACTTCAAACTTTACTATAAAGCTACAATCATCAAAACAGTTTGGTATTGGTATAGGAACAAGCATATAGACCAATGGAATGGAATTGAGATTCCAGAGGTAAAACCTCCATTTCTCAACAAACTCATCTTTGACAAAGCCTCCACCACATACCACTGGGGAGAGGAGAACCTATTCAGTAAATGGTGCTGGAAAAACTGACTGACCACATACAGAAGATTGAAACAGGACCCCTATCTATCCCCATACACAAAAATTAACTCCAAATGGATCAGAAATCTAAATGTAAAACCTCAAACCATAAGAACCTTAGAAAATTAAGGACATACGCTCATGGAAATTGGAACTGGCATCCAATTCCTGAACAAAACCCGAAACCCACAGGTCATAAGAGATAAGATAGACAAGTGGGACCTCATTAAACTAACAAACTTCTGCAAAGCCAAAGAAACCATCAAGAGAGCAGGGAGACAGTCTACAGACTGGGAAAAAGTATATGCCAACTCCAGGTCTGACAAAGACTTAACATCTTGGATCTACAAGGAACCCAAATGTGCTGAAAAGAAAAAAAACCCATTATAAAATGAGCCAAAGATATGAACAGACACTTCACAAAGGAAGACATCTGAACAGCCAACAGACACATGAAATGTTCAACCTCACTAATCATCAGGGAGATGCAAATCAAAACCACACTGAGATACCACCCAACTCCAGTCAGAATGGCAATTATCAATAACTCAAAAAATACAGTTGCTGGAGAGGGTGTGGTGAAAAGGAAACACTTCTACACTGTTGGTGGGAGTGTAAACTAGTGCAACCTCTGTGGAAAGCCGTGTGGACATTCCTAAAAGCTCTAAATATCAACCTCCCATATGATCCCACAATCCTCCTACTGGGAATATACCCTGAAGAACTCAAATCACTCTATAAAAACAATACCTGTACACATATGTTTATCGCAGCATTGTTCACAATAGCAAGAACCTGGAAGCAACCATGCTGTCCATCAAAAGAGGACTGGATTAAGGAAATGTACATATACACAACTGAATACTACGCAGCCATAAAAAAGAACAAAATCATGAATTTCGCAGCAACCTGGATGGAACTAGAGTCTATAATACTGAGTGATCTCTCACAGAAACAAAGATCTGAGTATCACATGTTCTCACTCATATAGTGGACATTGAACATCCAATGTAATACTATAAGAAAATGACTGACAGTGCTGGGAAACTATGGTGGGGAGGGAGATGGGATTAACGGTAGTAAATATCTGTCTGGGAATGGGGAGACCCCTCTTATCAACAAGGGTACCTGAAAGAAGCATATTTGTATACCTAACCCTTAACCGTACCTCACAATATCATAATAAAAAATATTAATTATAAGAAAAAGAATCCCAATTATTACACTATAGAACACTTTGCAAATTGAGATATGAGAGGACACGCATCCAAAGTGTTTCACCCTGAACCCCTTGTATGCTGTGTTCTTTGGCTCCTGATCCATGAGGATCGCCAGACGTAGCCCAAAAACAGAGGTTCCAACTGAAATGTACTGTCTCCTTTGGATATATTTAGAAGAAAAGCCTGTGGGAAGTAGCCTCCCTGTGGAAGTATTAGTTTCCCTTTTGACAGGCCTGTTTTGGCTCCTTTTCTCCCAGAAGCTGGCTTGGAAATAAGCTGCCATCCCAGCAACAAAGGGCTGCAACCTGTGGCTGGCCACGAATCCCCTGAAAATGAAATATTCTCCAAAATGCTTTTCCTGGTTGACTTGTGGTAAGCATATGACTGTCCTTTCAATGGATATAGGATTTGTGGAAGCTTTTGTTGGGTCACTGATGAAGACTTTATATTGCCTTGAGGAGCGGTGATGACTTAAAGATCATGTACAATGGCATGACACTGAGGCCCAGACTAGGAGACAGTTGTGAAAACCAACATGGGGAAAATTATGATGTTCCCTGCAATATGATCGTGTTTGTTGCTAGAGAACTTGAAGTACAGGAGGCCATCTTGTGGAGCACCCCCATGTGGATATGCTTCTCCATAAAATTTCCCCGAGTTATGCTAATACTTTAATTCTCATCCCAGGTCCTGGGCATTTTAGCATCCCTTACTGAGCACCCCATCTCACTTTGTGTCTTTCAGTGGAAACTTCTCATCAACATGGCTGCATAACATGCACCATCATAGAGCAGTGTATGGCTGTGATCTGTTTTCATGACCAATGATTTTCGAGTGACCGAAGGTTATCAATCAATGAGCAGTTCTTACTCATGGAGGCAAGTTGGACCTTCACCAATGTGTGCAGATTTTCTCTCAAGGCCTGGGGGAAGCTGGACAAAAATGAGCCATGAGATACACTCAGTGTGCACTTCAACAAGGCCCATGTTTCTTTTCCAAATAGTGAAAGAATAGAGTTTTGTCCTGCTCTACAGAAAGAAGAGAATCAGGGTCATTTAATAAGATTAAACATATCTGTGGCTCACTATGTGAATGGCCATCTCCTCTGCTAGGTGTCTTCTGAGTATATAGGGAGTTTGGAATAGGGGCACAGAGCAAAGAGAGTCCACCAGCCTCCTGGCGAAAGGGCACACAAGTTAAAAATGACTGTCCAACTTTTTTGAAACCACCATTTTTCTTGAGAACTCAGGATGTGAGAACACACTCATGTCAACCTGCTGGCAAAATTCACCACAACCAAGCTTTGCCGTGAAAATCCATCTTTGAAACAGAGAAACACTTTCCTACCTGAGATACCAAAGGAGGAATGTCTGAGCTATATCAAAAGTACCATGTCTCGACTTGATTCCAGTCCTGGAGGACCTTTTGTCTCAGCCTACTGGACGAATTCCACATGAGCAGGTATCTCATTTCATAATTATGTGGAGGAAACGCTTGTGTGAGACAGCATATTAAGGGAGGTAATAGACAGCTTGTTCCACAAACTGTCTTCCTCGGTTTCACAGGGATCCTTTCTTCAGAGAAAGCCTTGAAAATAACTGTCAGTCTCTTGGACAAAGGAGGTCACCCAGGTGCCTGACCTCATGTCCTCAGAAAGTCTAATAGTCTCCAGTAGTCTGGTCGCATTTGGTTCTTGTGATGAGCCTATGGTCCTCTATCAATAGGAGGTGGCAAAGGAGGATGTCTAGCTTGGTCAATAATGAAATCTTGGCCTTGTCTCTAGAGAGGTGTTGTCTGAAAAGTCATGCACAATAGAGTTACACTGAGGACCTTCTTATGTGACAGGTGTGCAAAGTGACATGAGCCTGATGATGGCCCTGGTATTGCCCTACTTGTGGCACTCTCTATGCCAGAGAGGCCATCCAGGGGTGCTCAACCCTAAGGAAGTACTCCTCCCCAAAATTGGAAAATTTGATTATGACTTGACCCTTTAACAAAAGTAGGCAATTTTGCACCCACTTCCTTGGCTCAAATTCTCTGTTGGTGTCTCTCAATGAAATATTCTGCACATGCTGGCTCCATGGTTTTCACCATCCTAGGGGAGAGCATGGCTGGGATTCGGAGTCATGAACATCATTCATAAGTTCCTGTGGGTCCCCTGAGGCATAGGAACTCTCATTTCTGGAGCCAAACTGAACTCTGAACCAATATGAGTACCTTTTCTCTTGAGACCCATGTGAGACTGGAGCAAAGAGAGCCTTCACATGCTCTCAGCCTGGTGTTTGACAAGGTCCAAGAATCTCCTCTAACCTCAGGGAGAAGAGGATTTTGTAGAGCAAGAGAGAATCTGGACAGCTAGGCTAATGAATACATATTAAAGCATTATTTCACTCAAATTGTGACAGATGCTAACCTTAGTTGTGCATCATCTGAGGTCTCAGGGAGTGTGCAATGGTGATGCAAACAAGTAGAGGGTGCTGTAGTCATGTTGAGTGGTGACACAAACTAAGAAGTAGAAATGATATCCACTTGTGAAATCATCAACACTCTTGAAATCTCAAGAGGTGAAAACTCACTAATTACAAGTAGCAGGCTAGATTCAAACATTCCAAGTATTGCACAAGAAACACAATTATGACACTGTAGAGCACTTTGCAAATTGAGATATGAGAGGAGAGGCAGCCAAAATGTATGACGCTGAACCCTGTGTATGCTGTGTTCTTTGGCTCCTAATCCACGGGGATCGCCAGACGTTGCCTGAAACAGAGATCCCAACTGACATGTATTGTCTCATCTGGATGTGTTTGGAAAAAAGGTCTGTAGGAGGCGGCATCCTACTGGAAGTATCAGTTTCCTTTTTGACACATCCTTTTTGGCTCCTTTTCTCCCAGAAGCTGGCATGGAATTAAGCTGCTTTCCCAGGAACAAAGTGCTGCAACCAGGTGGCTGGCCATGAATCCTCTGAAAATAAAATATTCTCCCAAACACTGTTCCTGGTTGACTTGTGGTGAGCATATGACTGTCCTTGTGATGGATATGGGATTGGCGGATACTTTTGTTGGGTCAATGATGAGGACTTTATATTGCCTTAAGGAGTGGTGATGACTTAAATATCATGTACAATGGTATGACACTGAGGCCCAGCCTAGGAGACAGTTGTAGAAAACAACATGGGGAAGATGAGGATGGTCCAGGCAGTACAATCATGTTTGGAGCTGGAGAATGCGATGTACGGGAGGCCACCTTGGGGATCACCACCATGTGAATATGCTCCTCTATGAATTTCCCTAAGTTATGCTTATACTTTAATCCTTATCCCAGTTCCTGGGCATTTTAACATCACTTGGTGAGCACCCCATCTCACTCTGTATCTTTCAGTGAAAACTTCTGATCAGCATGGCTGCATGGCATGCACCATCATAAAGGAGTACATGGCTGCGATCGGTTGTGATGACCAATTATTTTCCAGTCACTGAGAGTCATCAATCAATGAGAAGTTCCTACTCATAGAGGCAAGCTGGACCATCACCAATGCATCAGCCTACTGGAGAGATTCGACATGAGCCGGTATCTCATTTCATCATTATGTGGAGGAACCACTTCTGAAGAGACAACATACTTAGGGAGGTACTAAACAGCTTGCTCACACAAGCAGTCCTCCTTTTCACAGGGATTGCTTCTTCAGAGAAGGCCCTGGGCATAACTGTCATTCTCTGAGATGGACATCACCCAGGTTCCTGGCCTCGTGTCCTCAGAAAGTCAAATAGTTTCCAATATCCTGGTCACATTTGGTTTCTTGTGGTGAGTCTATGGACCTCTTTCAAAAGGAGGTGGGAAAGGAGGATGCCTAACTTGGTCAAAGATAAAATCTTTGCCTTGTCTCTAGAGAGGTGCTGTCTTTAAAGTCATGAGCAATAGAGTTACGCTGAGGACCTTCTTATATAACAGTTGTGCAAACTAATGTGAGTCTTATGGTGGCTCTGCCATCACTCTAGTCATGGAGATCTCTAAGCCAGAGATTCCATCCAGGGGTACTCAATCTTGAGGAAGCGTTTCTCCACGATATCGGCAAATTCTATTGTTTTGTCTTGACCCAGACATTCAATCCCTAAGAACGTGTGCTGCCACCAGACCACCTCTACATGAAACACTTAAGAAAGTACTAAACACAGAAGAAAAGGAAAAAAGAACAACGTTCTTCAGA